TAACATGGAACTGTTTGTTCAAGTAGCAGGTTATAAAAATACAGTTGTAATTACTACTGATAAACGAACACTAGGTATCAATTCAGATATTAACACTGTCTTAATAACTCACCCAAGCACGGGTGAGACGGGAATAGTCAAACCACAGCCATATGCTGTAATTCAGCCAAACACAGAAGTAACATCTCAACCACGTTCAGTAATTGAACAAACACCACATATCGTTACTCAAAATCATCAACATTCGATCAGAAAACAACACTTAGAGTGGGTGGAATTGCGGCAGGTTTATTCATGATTTGGATAAATAGTTTTACTTCTTAATATACCATGAAGTGCAGATGCAGCTTTCCCTGCAAGATTTCCTAGAGCTTCATCCTTATCATTATTAAAAAGTAGCAATAACAAATGAAAAATAATTACATTTCCAGACGAAAGGGAAAAGTGTAAAATCGAGAAATACAGAAATATATTTTCTCATGACATGAAAGAATAGTGTAGATATGTGGCCATGCTGCGTTCAAGACACACTTCTTCTATAAATAGTAAACTAATAGTGAACGGTTTAGTAGAACTGTTTGTACTCGTCATAACTAATGTCGGTTTAATAATGCTAGCCCACTGAGGTTACCATGCCGACAACAAGTACCATCTTTCAAAGTCTTTCAGTAAGAAGTGTTCCCGTTCTGCTCTCCAGACAGACTGACGCTCTTTCCACGAGACCACGGTCCGTTACCGGCCCTGTATTATACGACATTTCAAGGGCAGATTTAGCATTGCCAAAAGTGTTTTACACCATTATAAAATTTGATGTTATCACATAATATTATGACAATAGTGATAGTTTTTGTCTTTGTCTTCCTCCTCGTAAATGAAAAGGATTTTATTACATATATTACCCTTCCAAGTGTTTGTCTATGGTAAGTTAATGATAGCAGTGAAAGGTACATGTACCTTGAATCAATACTCTCAGTTACATGTACGTGTACACGCATAAACATAATCACAGAAACCACTTGAACATAATACCCTTCAGATTCAAATTAACTGTTTAAGTATCACTTTCAAATCTTTTATAACCGCCTCCGTGGTCGAGTGGTAGAGCATCCGCCCGGAGAGCGGAAGGTCCGGGGTTCGATCCCCGGCCGCGTCATACCAAAAGACGTTAAAAAATGGTACTTGTTGTTACCCTGTCTGGCGGTCGGCATTAAGGGGCTAAAACAAGGACTGGTCGGCTCGGAGTCAGTATACTGTGTCTGAGTGGGGTATTCATGTTAAACTGCAGCATGGTATCTCAGTGGGCTAGCACTATAAATCGGCATCAGTCCGGACTAGTACAAGCAGCCACACAAACACACACACGTACATGCACGTCGCTATATAAGTGCAATAATTTTGGACGCGACGTTAAACCCAATTTCACCTCACCTCACCAAATCTATTATATTATATATCAACTGCATCGTGTTTTGCTCTGCTATCTGCTGCAATAATGAAATGTTAAGGGTCGTGTCCAAACGATATTACCACATTAATACACTGTAAAAATATGTTGAGGTATAAACTGGTGCTTAAGCTTTATGTTTAAGTCCCAAAAGGAACAGAGTATTCGATTTGAACATAAACATGTTTATAAAAACTGTGTAATAAAGTTAATGGTGACATTCCTCAGTTAACCTGTCTCTTTCACTCGTCAATCTTCTGCTGTTACAATCGTTATATCAAAATTATGTTTGGGGTCTTGGTGAAATTTAATCACAATGCAATTAAATCAGAAGAGAAATGTCGATCGTTTCGTGACACCATTAACTTCTTTCAGTGGCATTTAGAAGTTGGTGTGATGAAGAAAGACAAGTTCTATGGATGAACAACTTCTTTATTACAATTAGTGCGACGTTTCGGTGTAGATCCTAAATTTTAACACCTTGACCAAGCAAGTGATGGATAGTGCTTACTTACTTACTTATATTGGAGATTTTACGTTCGCTTTCCGACTGCAGCGTATTTCACACACGGGCCCAGCCAGGCCATCTAATGTGTTTCCGAAAAGGGGAAAAAGTTGTTTGGCAATCCAGTAGGGGTGTTTTAGTGGTTGCTTATATAGAATTTGGAAATTTTGAGATTTGGAAAAAATGCCAAGAGGGCTGGGGGGCGAACTAAGGGAGTTGAGTATGGAAGTTTTTTAGTTTGATTATGTGGTTTGGTTTTGGTAGTTTATTGGGGTTTTAAATGCGATTTATTAGTCCTGATTTGATTAAGTATACGCCTAAGGCTTTAAATTTTTCTATTTTATTTCGTGGATTTAGGATTGCTTCTAGAGTAAGAGCCTTATTTAGATTTAGGGTGGTTTGTAGTGTAGTTCGGTGTGTTAGGTAGTGGATGCAGTGTATGAGTACGTGTTCTGGGGTTTCTTGTTGTTTGCAATGTGGGCAGGTTCCTGTTGCGTGTTTTTATTTTATTTTGAGGTTGTTATTTAGGTTGGTATGTCCTGTTTGGAGTTTAGAGATTACTCTATCGATTTTTTGGACGGATGTAGAATTTTTGGTTTGGTGAGGGTTTTTTTTAGAACCTTTTGATTTGGTGTTTTTTTGATTTTGTGCTTTATCGGCGTTTTCATTGCCGTATATTCCTACGTGGGCGGGGATCCAAATGAATGCTATTTGTTTGCCTGCCTTAGTTAAATCGTTTGAGCTTTTTAGTATTTGATTTATTAGTTCAGGGCGGTTTTTGGTGTTTTTATTTTGGAGGGCTTGTAGTCCACTGAGCGAGTCGGTAAGTATTAAGATTTTTTGTTGTTTTTTAGATTGTTGATCATGAAGGGCTGAGGCCATGCCCATTAGTTCGGCCGTGAATATTGATTGATTGTTTGGGAGTCGGTAGGATTGTGTGGCTTTAGTCGGTTGTGTGATATGGACTCCGAAACCTGTGTGTTTGGAGATCGGATCTGAGGATCCGTCTGTGTAAATGTGACACCAATTTGGCCAATTTTCATGTATGTATGCTAGTGTGGTGTTTTTTGCTATGTTTGCATCGGTTTGTTTATTTATTGTGCTAGCTAGTGTTATGTCTATTTTGGGTGTTTTAAGTTTTGGGGTGAAGATATTTGATTTTTTACAGTTTTGTTTAAGATTGTTTATTTGGTGTTCATTTAAGTAATTGATTATTCTTTGGGATATTGGAGTAAGTAGAGGGTGTTTTCGAGCTAGGGCTTGGTTTTGGGGGCTGATATTTTTGTTTATTAGGTTTTGAATTAGAGGGTTGGATTGAGACGCGGCCCAGAAATTTAGAGTTAATTGTTCCCTACGTAGATTTAGTGGCATTTCTCCTGTTAAGGCCTGGAGTGAAGTGTATGAGGTGCCATGTTGAGTGCGTGTTATTAGTTTTAGAGCCTGCTATTGGATTGAGTCTAGTTTTTTGCTTAGGGATTGGTTTAGGATGACGTATATGGCACATCCGTAGTCTATTTTAGATCTAATTAGTAATATATAGAGTGAGAGGAGGGTGTCTTTTGAGGCCCCCCAGTTTGAGCCAGTAAGGCACCTTAGCGTTTTTAGATCTTTGCTACATTTAGTTATTAGATTATTTATGTGAGCGTCCCAGGAGAGATGTTCATCGAAAATTAGTCCTAAGAATTTGGTTGTTTTAGGAATTGGATTGGTTTGTTGTTTAGCTGGAGTTTTGGGGAGGCGGGTTTCATGTTTTTGTGTTTAAATACTATTCCTGTAGTTTTTTTCCGAGTTAAGGGAGAAGCCCCATTTGTCAGCCGATTGCTGTATTTTGTTTTAGAGATTTTTGAAGTAGGTTTTGGGCCATTTTAATGCTTTTTGTGCGAATCCAGAGGGCTCCATCATCCGCGAATTTAGATGTGTTTATTTTAGGGGATAGGCCCTCGAATAGATCATTTATCATTATATTGAAGAGTGTGCCCTGGGGAGTGCCATTTTCTAGGGGACATTGGTCCGATAGCGTTTGGTCTATACCCACGGTTACTTTACGATTGTTTAGAAAGTCCTGGATGTAGTTTATTGTTTGACCTTTGAGTCCTATTTTTTTTAGCTTTTGTATTAGCCCGTCGTGCCATACCATGTCGAAAGCTTTGGAGAAGTCTAAGAAGATGCCTGTAGTATATTGTTTGCTGAGTTGTCCTGTTTAAATGTCCTGCTATAAACGGGCGAGGTTATCTAAGGTTGAGCGGCCAGGAGTGAAACCACTTTGATCTGGGTTTATGATGTTATTTTGAGTTAGGTAATGTTGTAGTCTGTTTTTAGCCATAGATTCCATTACTTTACATAAGTTTGAAATTAAGGAAATTGGTCTATAGGAGTTAGCCTGATTAGCTGGTTTATTAGGTTTAGGGATTGGTATGATTAAGGCCTGTTTCCAGGGAGTAGGTACTTGTCCGTTTTGATAGATGAGATTGTATAGTTTAAGTAGTGCCTGGAAGGGTTTAGGGGGGAGTTTTTTAATTATTTGGTAGGATGGATAGTACCAAACAACGTAGGTATATATACTTATTTACATCAATGTTTATACAGTAAGTTGATTGATGGACACAGAGAATGATTAAGATAATAGGAAGCCAGTGGATGACAATGGGACAGGGTAAACAACCACGGAAGCTGATTGGGATGATTGGAAGCCAGCGAATTAATTGGATGGACATAGGGGTTTAGCAATTAGGTGATGGTAAGCAGGCGGGATGTAGTAGCCTTGATCTCTGTTCATTGCTGACTGGATCCTTTGATGTAGATGGCTTCTAGGAGTTTCCTGATTTTGTAGTCTGACTGATTGTTGGCCAGGAACTTGATGTTGTTCCACTGGATGTTGTGGTCGGGGTGGGTTTGGGTGTGGTCGGAGTTGGCTGATTTAGAGTCATTTTTTTGTACCGAGGTCTTGTGTTGTTTTATTCTAATGGGTGGGGGCCTAGATGTTTCCCCTACATAGGAGTCGCCACAGTCACATTGTATTTGATATACGGCACCAACTAGGTCTTCTTTTTTTTATGTAGAGGGCCTGCCATTGGCACTGAGGATGTTCTGGATTGTCCTTCCTCTCTGGAATACTGTTTCAATGTTGGCGTGGTGTTTGAGCAGTCTGCGGATCTGGTGGCTGGCTGTTCCTATGTAGGGAAGACTGATGACAAACGGGGGTGTCTGTTGTCGAGGAGGCCGCTCTCTGGGGCTGAGCATGATGTTGATTGTTTGTTCAACTAGGCTGGTAGGATACTTGTTGAAGTTAGTGAAGACATGGCGGAGGTGGTTGAGTTCCGTTTGTAGCTGTTGTGGCGTGGAACAGATGTTGCGGGACGTCGGGCTAAGGTGGCGATAATTCCTCTCTTGATTTGTGGTGGATGGTTAGAGGAATTGTGCAGAAACTGATCAGTATGGGTTGGTTTACTGCAGACACTGGTGTGGAGTTTGTTATCGTTGTCTTTCTGTACTCTTACATCTAGGAATGGTAGTTGTCTGTCAGCTTCTTGTTCCATAGTGAACTGCATCCTGGGGTGTTGGGCATTCAGGTGGTTGAGGATGGTTTTGGGGTCATGGTCAGGTTGGAGAATGACAAAGGTGTCCTCGACTTTCCTAAACCAGCAGAGGGGGGTGATAGATGATGTATGGAGGGCGGTTTCTTCTAGGTCCGTCATTTCATCCTTGTAAGCTTTTATATATGGATTGTGTTTTGCAGTGAGCTTGTCATTGCCAGAGTGGGGGCGGTCGGGTAGTCTAGTGATTAAAGCGTTGGCTCGTCACGCCGAAAACCAGGGTTCGCTTCCCGACATGGGTACAATATGTGAAGCCCATTTTCTGGTGTTCCCCGCCGTGATATTGCTGGAATATTGCTGAAAGCGGCGCAAAACCATACTCACTCACTCATTGCCAGTGTGTTTGAACATAGAATTGTAATTAACAAGATAACGTTATCCAAATACACAGATAAACATTATTTGTTGACAAAATATATTCTCATGTGTTTTACACTTTAACAGAGCCCGTGTTTCAGTTTTTGACTACGATGGGAAGGAATTCTGAGACAAAATCAGCTTTTCAAAATTTATTAAGATATGCACCCATCCTCGATAATCCAGTGTTTTAAATCTCCATTTTTTACAATAGCAAGCTTGGATTCATTCACCTCCAAACCTTTGTTTTGAGTCCATTCAAATTACATGTTTGAAACAATCGGAGAAAGCACCAGCTCTCCTTATTTGCCTGTCGGTTCATATGCACTCAGAACGTCCTGGGACCCGTTCCACAAAGCGATCTTAGCACTAAGGTGATCGTAAGTCCTATACTTTAACATAGGTTTACGATCATCGTAGCGCTAAGATGGCTTTGAGGAACGGGGCCCTGTAGTATAAGGACGTCTCTTAGAGCTCACTGACAGGCAAAGTTCTTTTCCACTTATAAGTTGATTTATTATATTATGGGTAGGTTCCTCGGCAAGTTATTCCCACATAAAAACGGTATCCATTTAACTCAGTTGCGGATAAATATAACAGGTCAATTAGGTCCAACTTTCAGTGTTAACCAAACATGTTGCGTCGCCCTTGTCTGTCGTTGATCGAATCATAATTGACGATCAAGGACCTGAACAATTACCAGGATAATTGTTCTCATCATCAATAACTTTAAGATATCGAAAATCGGTTTCTGAAAGGGGCGTAAACGTAGCTGAGGCTTTGGAAGTAGAAATTGCGAAATGAATAAACGATGGCGGTTGGGATATGTGTTCACATGCCCGTGCTTGTAGACCTCTGACGTTTGGGAACATTTCCCAAATAAAAGCAGATGGATTTGGCAGAATCATGTCCGTTTCTAGTTTCTGAGCTTCCATACGATCTGTTAAACACACAAAACGACTGCACATTGAGATTATATCCCGAGTCAATAAGTTTTGATCGGTTGACTACTCACCAATATGGCAATACTGTCACTTATGTCATTACTGGAAATTGCAGTCATTTACTATGGGGCTATTCCTGGAACTATATATATATGTGTCATAAACAAAATATTGTGTGAATGAATTTGGCCGCCTTGGATAGTGTTTCACGTCATAGATTGTCACATTAAAGATGGAGGAAAGCCTTAAGAGACACAGGTGATGGATGCTACTCGCGGACGAGGTCCACCAGCTTCGGTACAGCACTGTCAAATCAAGGAGTATACTCTGGGGTTCAAACCCAATATCAGAGGATGTATCTCTCCACGGCCTGGTGCATCTGATCTGAGCCAAGCTGGACCACGCACTAGTTGACATTTGCAGCAATCAATTTGAGGAACGGCTCTCAGGCGTGATAGAGTCATTAATTTGCCGATTTAGCTGCAGATACATTCAAGAATCACAATTATCTCCAAGGCTTTAAGATGTTGTTCCGAAATGAAGCAGGGAGCCATCGACAGGCCGGTTTCACGTTGGGTGGTTCTAATATAGCGGTGATCACTATAATCACAGCAACATGCAAATACTACATTGGAGAGAAAATAGCAGAGTAATGGAGACACGATACACTCGAGGAGAATGAGTGCCATCTAAATGTCAATCCCTGATGTAATACTATACTGTAAAATATATACATAAAATGTAAACACAGACAGTACATGTTTAGATCTAAACATGTTTAGAAATGTTTAAGTCATAGAGGAATACACAACTGAAGTGTTCTAACTGAATGCATTTAGGTCTAAACACATGAAATGAGGTATCCCCTCACAACCTAATTACCACCTAAACACAACATCCTTATAATCTAAACATGTTCGGAATTTAAACACGTTTAACATGGTTAGATTTTAAACATGTTTAAAGGTTAAATATGATTAGAATTTAATCATGTTTAAACATGTTTTCAATTTTAACATTTTTAGAAGTTAACATGTTTCAATAAAGTGTGTCATCATACAACGAAGGATGAAACGTGGTTTATTTCACGATTAAGCATTGTTCTATCATGACGTCATTTCTGAAGATTCGAATATGCGCTCGCAACTTGATGACGTCATATATTGGACGACGTTATGTTTGAGAGGGAAGCGTCTAGTTAGTTGTTCCCCTTAGATACAGCTGGGCTACGCAGATAAACGCAGTGGCCGAACGATCGCATCCAAAGGTTAGGAGAGATTTAACAATCGTTATTAGGAGAAAAGATACAGATGATCGACGTGATTGTGAGAATATGCGAGAAATACCAAACCCACCTGTTCGTAAAATGGACTTATCCCATATTTCCGAGGTCGGATTCTATTCAGGGAGTCATCATAACATTTTACCAACATCCTTAAAGAGGCTGCGCCCCTCATGGTTTAATCTCTCTGCGGTGTTTTATTGTACGATAAACAACGCCCACTCGTCGTTAATTACTTAATTAGACGCTAAACATGTTTAGCTGTTGAAAACAATCCTAAACATGTTAAGCCCTACACATGTCAAAATTATGGGACAAGAACGTGTTTAACTTTGTGTTCAGGGTCTAAAAACATTATTACAGTGTAGAATACGGATGCTTAACATGAATAGGATGAAACGTCAGTTTTCTGTCATCACGTCGTGCAGGTAACAGTATCCGTGGTAAAGTCAAAAATCATAAGCTCGAATTCCATAAACCGCTATGGTTATTAATTGAAATTACAATCTCATCCTACCAGGTACCCATTCATTGCTGAGTGAGCAGAGGCATATTTCGAACTAACTTGCCTAAAGAGATACAACTGATGTTATGGGTTGGGGCAGGACGTAAGGAGTCAAGCTTGCTGAACACAATCACCCATCCACCTACTCTCCGCGACTGATGTGTTACCTGTGCACTGTACAAAGGGCAAACCCACGTTCCACCACTCTGCTTTCTCGAACGGACAGCTCGATACTTATTCAATGGTTCCCCAGGACTTCGAGTTGAAGACGCTTCACTGTAAATATGTTGTATGGCGCTACTTACTACCTTTGGTGGCTTTTAAAAATAGAGTGAGTGAGTGAGTTGGGTTTAACGCCGCTTTTAACAGTATTCCAGTTATATCGCAGCGTGTCAGCTTAATGTGGGAGGAAAGCCCGAAGTGATGCAGGTCTCTGACGTTTATCACTTCGGTGAAACCCGCGAGCACGGGTATGGTGCTGACAAACCTTGAAACATAATCGGGGCGAACCGGGATTCGAACCCACAATCATAGGTTTCTTGCGTGCCTAAGGGACGCAACTCTGCACAGCGAATCGCGGCGCCTTAGACGACTGGGCCACCCGTGCCCCCCTTTTAAAAATAGAACTTATTGATGTCATGTAAGTGAACTCGTTGGTTGCTTCTAACACATCCTTTATCGCAGAACATAATTATATTTCTCTTAGTCCGAAATCTTATGAGGTACATATAACTGTACATACAATGTTTGATGACGTATACAGGATTAACCGGAAGATTTGACTTTTTTCATTATTAAATTTAATAGTGCCTGTAATTCTAAAATTGTTTGGTCTTACTAAATATTTTTCTTTCTTTTTTTTAAATACAATTTTCCATCTGTCGAATATTTACATCCAAAAATATAACGCTATTCATCGTTGATAAAATCTTTGTCACATAAAAGATGTATTAAAACATTATAAACATGTTAGTTTGAACTATTTGTACATCAATGTCTACACACAATGGAATATACGATGCAGCAGAACGTGGATATCTCCCTAATTCACCACACAGCACAAATAAAGAAGTACTTAACAGGCAGTTTTTGATCATGAATAAACATGATTTCATCTCAAAGTAAATCGCTACATTGCTGGATTAATGCCGATGCATCTATTAATTTGAACTCACTCCAAGTATTAACAGTTCTTGAGATGTACCCTACTTATAAACATACCATATTCCAAACTGTCCTGCCTGTTGCACTTGTGAAAGTATTCAATCGTTGTCTCGTACGCATTGTCCCCGGCAGGTGTGAACGGCTGATGCAAATAACGGTAATCATATCTCCACAAAGAGAAGCCAATCATCACAATAATTATACCTCCAAATCTTCGTTATATATGCCAATTTTCGATCAATCATCAACTCCTGCTTCGTGTTAACGAGAGATGTCGCATTCATTGGCGTACCTCAAAAGCCAAAAGTAAAATATTTCACGTGTACCCTTGGTAACTTAAATATTTTAATTGTCTTTTTTTCGTTCACATCCGTGCATAATGAGTGAGGTTATTTTTTTATGCATTGCAGTTACTTTCAATACTTATTCCCGTTATATATTATTTTACTCGTTAACGAGGTCAAAATATAGCTGTCACGTCCTTACAATGTTAAACTGATTTTGAAAAAAAAACAAAGGGAAAAAATGCATGCTTGATACACAACAGAATATTTTCAGCAAAAAGTGTTTTATTAGTCGAGTATGTTTCTGTATCGCAAATATCATAAATTAGGAAGTAAATAGTTGCGAGCCTTTGGTCAGCATAATACATATTGTTTATTCCTTCATGCAATATGATATTTAGGATATGGAAACACGAGGGTAATAAGATTCCTAATACATCTATTTTTTTAGATCGTCATGTTTAAGATGAAAGTTCACTCAATCATAGTCTGTCTTACAGACCCTGATACAAATATATATCAAATACAGCCCATGCAAGTCTATGATTTTTGGCAAGTCTAGATCA